AAAAAAAAAAAAAAAAAAAAAAAAAAAAAAAAATCCAAAAAAACAAACAATTAATTGAGAAGAAATCAAATTATAAAAGAGTCAGGAGTACTTCAGGCATAAATGAACACTGAAAAATGCAAACATCTGAGCTAATAGTAAGTCAATCAATCAGTCATTCTCCTAGGAAAGAAATGAGATTGATGGGTATATTCTGGAGATGATACTAAATACTAACTAGTAAAACTTTATACTTTATATTGGTATATTTTTGTAGGACTACTATAATTTCATTTAATGATAGAAATTAACCTGAGTTGAGTATTTTATTAGAAGAAAACATCCTTTACAAATTTTGAAGTATTCCCTAATGAAAAATTTGCAAGAATAGAAAGAAAATAATCTGAAAACAGAAAACAAAAAGATAGTACTTCTTTCACACAGAAAAAATGAATTACAGAACCTTAATTATTAATTAAAAATTAAAGCATAGCATTGGTGAATGGCTAGAAAGATTTTGAAATAAATAGAAAATGCCAAAAAAGTTATTAAGGCTTGAAGTAGAAACAAAGTTGAAAAACAGTGTGGTCATGTTTGACAAAAAAAAAAAAAAAAAAAGTCAAGAGCTCACATTTATAATAAGATAGAAACTAACAGATCAAGAATTATATACAGTTTTAAAAATCTTGAACTAAAAGAAACCTTTGGAATGTTTCAACCTTGAAGTGGGAAAAGTATGAAAGGATTTCTATAATTCTAAATTCTAAAGTTATAAAAAGAAAATAATGACAAATTTTACACTAACAAAAACAAAACAAGCTGGGCGGTGATGGTGCACACCTCTAATCCCAGCACTTGGGTGGCAGAGGCAGGCAGATTTCTGTGAGTTCTGAAAAAGACCAGCCTGGTCTACAAAGTGAGCTCCAGGCCAGCTAGGGCTGTTACACAGAGAAATCCTGTCTCAAAAAAACAAAACCAAAGCAAACCAAATCAAAACAACAGGCCCAATATAATACAAAAAAGGTCAGTGTTTGAATATATCCCAGCAAGCCCAAAGTTCTGGGCTTGCTATCCTCAGCACCACCAACAAGCTAACTAACATAAATCAAAGCGAAAGTCAAATCAGTTGAAAGTCCTATCACACATTGAAGGGCAATTTCTCTAATACATAACAAATTTCTAACAACTTTACGGCAAGTGGATGACATAAAATTAAGCATCTTAAGAACAGGAAGTGATGCTCAATTTAGCTGTTGAATAACAACTAAATTTAAAAAACTTTTTTTTATGCTTACAAAATGGGCAATGATCTATTTTGACAATATGCCATACCTGAAATGGAGATGAATAAATGAGCATAGTGTGTGTGTGTGTGTGTGTGTGTCTTCCAGTAAGGTTGCTGAGAGACAATGCTTTTAACACTTTTAAAAGGTGTTTTCCTTACTGGACAGTTGCTAAAGCACTGCCTGCCCACTTCTGAAATCCATTGTTAACACCTCTCAAAGGGGCTTGAACTTTGCTTTTCTTAAGACTTAGGGGAAAAAGAATGGGAGACAGGATTTTAAACCACAGGGAAGTCTTGTCTCTGATACATTTGGCAGGTCTTTAATTCATCTCTGTCCTGTCACATGAATTACAGTCATCAAAGCCAGGAAGTACCTTCAACACTGTACAGAAACTTTCATACAGATCATCTAATTCTCTGGGTGTAGTTTCTCTTGCAAGAAACAATGGTTAACTTTCCAAACATATGAAGCTCTCTTCAGATGATCACAGTCAAAAGTCCACCAGGCCTCAATCAGCCCACTGTCTCTGTGCTTTCAGTCTTTCACTTGTTCATGAGAGCGCTTCTCGTTTTCACCCCTGCTTGGCTCAAACTCTCCTCCATACTTTAGATTTTCTTTTCTGGGGGCAGGGGGAGTAAGAATTTCATTTCCAGGTGCTCCCCCCAAAAGTTCTACTGGCTACAGATTGTAAAACTTATGGATTAAAATAACTAGGCTGGTGTTAAAGGCTTATAACCCTACGTATCCAGAGGTTGAAACAGGAAGAACTGTGAGTTGAAGACTAGCCTGAGTAACAGTGTGTCACTGTCTCAAAATTTAAAAACAGGTAAAAGCTAGGAATTCAACCCTAGCCTGGCTAGCTTGGTTCATAGTTTGAGCCTTGGTGCCATACTCTCCCAGAAAATACTGCATGAGTTATGACAAAAAATAACCATTAGAAAAAGTTAAGACAGTTTCAGAGATTCAAGATTTATATTGGAAGATAAATTTTGAGACTTAAAAATTGATAAAGTTTTAATATGCCCTCACATTAGATAATGAGTACATTTCAAATTCAAATTTTAGGTTGTATAATCTGTATTCTATGTATTCTAGACTCCCCAAGAGCATTAGATTCCAATCTCATTTACTGTATCTGATGGATAGCAGGACGACTTATGCTGACACTCTTAGCACCCATTTAAGAGCTGGGCATAGAGACACACATCTGCAATCCCAGTACGAAGGATGGGTAGGAGACAGAGACAAGAAGATCCCTGGAAGCCACTGGCCAGCCTGCCTAGCCAATTGATGAGCTCAAGGTTCAGCGAGAAACTTTGTAGCAAAAAAAATAAGATGAGCAGTCAAGGAAGAGATCTGAATAAGAAGACATATGATATCAACCTCTGGCCCCCACATATATATCCTCAAGTACTTGCACGTACACATGCATACAAACTAAAAAATATATATCTGGTGCCATTTTAATTTCTGATCTTTTACAACTTCTAAATTTAATCTATGTCACTCTGAACCTTCATAAAAATGTATCTTATTACTGGTCTTTTATAATGTGATAATTATTTTATGGGCCTCTGCATTTCCATTTTAGTAAGTTAATGTTTCAATTTCATCTCACACTTTTCTCCTTCCTGTGACCCTTCTCTCACCTTTCTAATTGAATCTAGAGCCTCACATATCCATGACAAAACTATATTTGGCTGAATCACTAGGATCATGGTATGCATCCAATAGAAAGGATGATCCAAAAGCAAAATCAATAACCAAATTTTATTCCATGGTCAGTCCACAAAGCAAAACCACAGCTCTATCAAAGCAGTGAGCCCAGCTGGATTTCAGAATGCCTGTTTTCCCTCATTATGGGTAGAGTAGTCTACAGTGGTCTACCATTACATGCTAGATATACGTGAGGTAACAACCATGTCATTTTAATCTACCCTTCTTCCGTTTAAAAGATGTTCTTAAGGAACACAACTGAAAACCCTCCTCTATACCTCTATATGAGTGTGAGCCTCTTATAAAATAAACTGTGGGAGTTCTTGTGTGAGACAGTGTGAATATATTTTTGCATATAGGATACAGGTGAATTTTTGTGATCAGAGATGTGTCAGACTATATATTTTTAAAATAGCTACAAATCTGCAAGATTTTCAGAGCACACTTCCCACAAACATATGGTTTCTTAAATTCTGCCACACTAGAGAGAGATGGAGTCTATTTCTTCTTCTTTTTTCAGCCTGAATATACTTAAAATGCAGCAGAAATGATGATGTGCAATACTCATAGCTATATCTGTGAATATAGATAGTAGAAGGAAGTACACCTTCTACTCGGCTGGTCCAACCTCTCTCCATGTGGCATGCTGTGAGGAAACTCAGACTGCCTTAAATGGTAATAGCTCATAGCCTCCACTACAGTCTTGGTAGCTGGTGAACAAAAACTGCCAGACAAGAGCATTAAATGAGTTTTCATATTATTCAATTGCACTTTTCTTCTTCTTCTTCTTCCTCTTCCTCTTCCTCTTCTTCTTCCTTCTTCCTTCTTCTTCCTCTTCTTTTTTTAATTTTTATTTATTTATTTTTTTTTGAGATATGGTTTCTATGTGTAGCCCTGGCTGTCCTGGAACTCACTCTGTAGACCAGGCTGGCCTTAAACTCAGAGATCCATTTGTCTCTGCCTCCTGGGTGCTGGAACTAAAGTGTGTGCCACCACCGCCCGGCCTCAAGTACACTTCTTAAAGCCAAGTCAACTAATAGAAAAAGTAGAACAAAAGAGTTGCCACTAACACCTAACCGAACTATAGGTTCATAGAGAAAAATGTCTAAGCATGGTGGAATAGGGCTATAATTCTAGCTACCCAGGAAACCAAGTCAGAGATGACAACTTTAAGCTCTGCTGGTCACATTGCAAGTTCCAAGGAAGTCTAGGTAACAGAGTGTGACCCTGTTTTAAAATCTAAGATTAAAATATGCTAGGGATGGCTTTCTGTGGCCCTGTTTGACACGTTCAAGGCCACAGGTTCAGGTCTCAAATCCCCAAGACACACACCCACATTTTACTATTTTAAGGACAAGTTCTAGTATGATTTGTTGTTCACCTTAACGCTCTACTCAGGAAATTATTGGAAGATAGTAGACGAAGAAACTAGGAGACAATCTTTTTTAAAAAGAGAAATATAAAACTCAAGAAACAAATAATCTAATATATGAAAACAACAAAGGAAAGCTTGAAGAAAAAACAAGGGGAAGCTACTGAATGAGATCTGTGTGACAGAGATAGGGTGTAACTAACAAGGAAAACGGTGGGTGGGAGGGGGCACAAACAAACAAAAATAACCAACTAAACACAGAACCTAGAGATTACCTGCCTGATAGACATGAACAAAAGTGAGCTAAAAAAATATCAGCAATGGCTAATATTTATGAGTCATGTAACAAACACACCAAATAGACTTATGTAGCAATCATGACATAATAAGAGGAGAATGGAAATTTTGTGGCAGATAGAACCCTCATCTATTACAGTAAGAGGTCAATAGGTAATAGCCAAATGAAATTCAAGAACAGTCCCATGAGCCTATTGTTAAAAGACGGTGGGTAAATAATCAACTACATGAGAAATACACAGCCCCCTCTGAAAACTTTGGCCTTATGGGCATGAAGGTGAGTGTGTGGCAATCAGAAAACTGTCTTTGTTTTGAACATCAATTCCCTTAAACTATATTTTAATTATGATAAATAAAAACATGTTAAAGTTACATACTATAAATATACTTACTACGGAAATGCTGTTGAAGTAGGAGCTAAAACTGGAGGATTCTTCCAGAACTCATCCAAAAGACTTTGAATAATTTTTCCAAGATCTGAGTGCATTGTAAACTGAAAGTAACAGTAATACATAATGATAAAAACCCTCTCAAAACACAAAATTTCATGGGAATAAATCTCATTTGAAATCTTAACCAATGTCTGCAGCTAAGAATAACTAGGAAAGAGGGCTGGAGTGATGGCTCAGTGGGTAGGAACACTTAAATGTTTTGCAGACGACCCAGGTTCAGTTCCTAGCACCTACAAGGCAGCTCACAACCTATGTAACCCCAGATCTAGATGATGTGACACTGTCCTCTGACTGTGTGGGCACTGCATACACATAAACACTAATACACATAAAATTAAAATGAGGAAAAAATAAAGAAGTAAAGAACACTGTGTCAACATACTAACAATAATGATTTACAACAGTTTCCTATAGAATCCATACTATAAATATTTAGTAATTAACAAATCAGGTTAAAAGTCTATTCAATCGATAATGAAGCGTCCCACACTTCACACTTTCCAGTAACTTGATTGTCAGAGGTAAACACTCAGGGTATTTAAGCTGCAACATGTAACATTATCAACCACATTATATCCAGAACTTCAAGTCACAGGCTTAAGTAAACAGTATTGTCTAAGGAAACCAATTTCAAAATAAAAATTTTATTACACTTCAGATTTCTAGAGCAATAAACTGTAATAAATGGGTAGGTTAATCTGATATAAACTATAGCATATACATACGTTGCTTACTAATGGAGAGGTAACATACAATCCTTGATTATCCATTAAGTGATGTCTTATTGGTGGATAAACACTAATCACTGGTTTTTCCTGAGGAAATTGTGGAGGAAGTAATCTAGTAAAGAAATAACACACACACAAAAAAAACACAAACAAATGAAAAAAATACAACATGTAACCATAATCCTAAAACAAAGTTATTTAAATGCAAGTTAAATTTTCACATTGTCTTATATGGACTTAATTTTTAGTAACACATGCTTTATTATAAATATTGAGCAGACTGAAATATATGAAAGGCTATATTCTGGCAACAACACAGTAATTGAATACAAGAGATTCTTTTTAACATGGAATATGGGCTCCATGCATTACAGAAAAGTCTTTTTAGCATGTCAACGAATTGATTTCCAAGCTAATAAAAAAAACTTGCTGAATAAGAATCTCAGCTAAAACATAGATTGTCCACCTGTACAGCAAATCATGCAAAACTGCCTGACTATTTAGTGGATTATAGTTCTGGCCATGTGTTCATGTGCGTGTGTGCGTGTGTGTGTGTGTGTGTGTGTGAAATCCTGCCCGCAGTAGCCTGGGCATGCATATACTACACTACAGAGGAAAGGGTGAGAAGTAAGTACTAGGACTACACTACTGTGCTTGTAACCAAGCCTTCGCTCATCTGAGTCCTAAACGCTGCATTAACGCCTCTCCTCATACTGGTGTAAATCATGGGGGTTTAAGACTAAAAAGCTCTTAATTCAAAAGTCAAAAAATTCATCTTTTTTAAGTACTACAAAATTAAAATTAGTTTATGAAATATTTTAATAGAAGTTTGTTAAATCCAGAACTCTGTTTCTTAAATTTTGAAAACTCAGAATGTTTCCCTTTAGGCTTTTCTGCTTATATACTGGTTAAGGAAAGTACTTCTTGACATTATCAAAATTGGATTTTGTTGGACTCTCCTCCCTACATCTACATAGGCACTGGATGGGAAATTAATTAATTTATATAGCTAAAGTTCATTTTTGTTATTTGTTTTTGTTTTTATAGGTCAAGATTTTTAATTTTTTTTTTAAAGAGGCAGTAAGTGGCCTCTGGAGCCCATGAGTCCATGTTACAGCCATTTATTATGACTCTGTAATATATTCTAATTTGTAAGGCTTCTATATAGATTCATAAAGCTCATACTTGTCAAGTTAATGTATTTTAATTCTTGCCAGAGATACATGTTTATCCTTAGATTTGCTCAGAGAACAAGTATTTTATAAGGCCTCCTATGTCCATGTGTTAAGTAATAAACCACAAAGTTTTTATTTCACTAAGCTGAGCACTATTTTCTGTTATAGTTACTATGAATAAGTTCATTTAAACAGCTATGTCTGATATTAATTAAGAGTAAAGACAAAAAAGTTAGTTTCTTTTACATGAAATATAGATTACAACTCTGTTCACACAATATTATTGTCTAGCTACTAAGACATAAAATTAAAACCTAGTACACAAAAATAGAAAAGAATTTTACTTACATATTAATGTTAATTGTTAGGTTGTTTACTGTGAATGGCAATCTGTATTCTACATCTTTTTGTATTTCAGCTATACTGTAAAAGAAAAAGTAGAAAAGATATAAAAAGATCAATGCTATAAAAAACTGTTACTATAAAAACCAAATGTTAGATGCTATAGCCTACAACTTTTTAAATTCTAATCACAGCATTTGGATAGCTGATATAATTTGTATCTAGAGAGAGAATTACTATAGTTGGAAAGACTTATCAAATATGCAGGCAATAATATTCTGAAATATCCAGAATATTATTATTGTTATTATCCAAAGGGTAAGGGAAGGATGCTAAGGAAAACATATAAGGAAAACTCAGAATAATCTCAGATTGAGTTAATATAATTTTATCCAACTCATTAGTAGAAGCCTTCTGGGTAATATATGTCAACAAGTAGCTGAGTTCTGCTAACTGTGCCACTATCCAGCTTTACAGGCAGCTGGGGATGACTGAATCTGAAGAATTTAAACAGAGCAGTCCCAATGAGTGTCTCTTTAAATGGTGACATAATGGCTCCTGACTGCTTTCCACCTTTCCTCTTCTTCCCCAAAGGAGCCTGCTTTTATTCTGGGTAGCCATATGCTATAGCCATACTGTTTCTTATTACTAGCTGTTGTTAAAGACTTTATGTCCCAGCCAATGAAAACATAGGTTAGTAGTGGGGTGGATTTCCAAGGAAGCCGCTTACAGTGGAATCCCAACTACTAGCTCTTTCTGCCTTTCTTACCTTCTTCCTACTTCCTGTCTGGATGCTAGGCTTGCATGGTAATAGCCACTTTGAGGCATCCTATTAGTAGGTGGTAGGCACTACAAAGCAATGAAGTAACTAGCTAGGGTCTTTGATAAGTATGAAACCACTTTTGGTTTTTGTTTGCTTGCTTGTTTTGTCTTCTTTGAGATAAGTCTTATTATATGTAACCTTGACTGACCTGGAACTCCCAATGTAGCCTAGGCTGGTCTTGACCTTAGAGAAGTCCATTTGCCTCTGCTCTAAATACTGGGATTAAAGACAAAGAGTCACCATGCCTGGCTTAAATTTCAAAATAAACTTTTGTCTTGTTTTGAGCTACTACTTTGGGAGTCTTTGTTAATGCTATCAGAGCAGAGTCCCAAAATAAAGCCGTTATAATCTGACATCCTATAAAGGTAAATCTAGGAACTATGGAGCCTCTGGGAGCTCACTCGAAATATTAACATTCATAATGGTTCTAAGGGGAACACACAAAGTAGTACTCATTAGTTGATATAATGGAGGACATTTAGTATTCATTAGTCTTTGAAAGGTCTAGCAAATATATAACACTTCCTGTTATTTTATTCCTTTTAGTTACTTCAAACAGTTTTACAAAGTTTATTTTCCTCATTCTTGGATTAGTGTATTTTCTGTCCTTCAATAAAAACCTAGTCTCTCAAAATATACAAATCTTATGTATTTTGAAATGTTTCTAAGTGTTGGCGTCTCAGTTGTGAAGCACCAGCATGGCCAAGTCAGCTTATAAAAGAAAGCATTTAAACGTGGTCTTGTTCACAGTTTCAGTGGGCTGGTCTTGACAACACCATGGCAGGGAGGATAGCAGCAGGCAGGCACTAGCTTTAGCTGATGAGCTTACAGTATGAAAGCAAACCATAAAGGATGAAGCTTCCAGGTCATAGTCAACTTGATTTTTCCTTGCTCTATGACTCAAGTATACAGTGTCTTCAGCAAGAGGGACTGGGAACCAGGGTGATCCAATGCTTTTCCTGATGCCCTGATACATGGAGAAGAAATGTAGTTCCTTGTCTAAAACCAGGAATATGCTTGGCAAGGCTAGTAATGGCCTGAAGCCAGGGCCTTGGGGGAACAGTAACTTCTGATCCTGGGAACTTAAATCCTCCCCCAAAGGAGCTAAAGTTATCAATCCCCAGGCCACTGTGTGCTCAGTCTGTGCACACTTGAGATATCCTGAGTTCCTTTTTAAACTACATTCCTTGATTAGCTTCCTGCTGACTTCCTCCCACTATATGATAGCTTTCTGCTGATTCTGTCCCATTTTCCCCTGCAAACTGTATATAAGATGCTGTACTTCTTGTATAAGGCATCAGCTTATGCAAGACCTCCTGACCCCAACTTTCTTGTCTTCTTTATTTTTCATCCCAGATCCACCCGGTCACAGACTTGTCACTGAAGAACAGGCTGCCGGTTCAAGCTGATAGGTTCTTACCATCTATTATGGTTAGAAAAGCAATCATCAATCCTGCCCATCTGTGAATGCTGCACGCTAAAATAATGACTGGCTGGCCAGTTTGTGCACTGCTGCAACAGTGGCACAAACATAATGGGAAAACCCACTACTTTCTGAATGAGCTTACAGCACTCTCCACAACACAGTACCCATACCTAGCACCATGACAGAGATGAGAGTCTGCAGCTCAACAGGTCACAGATCTAGGGGAGAACAGTTAAGTGACACAGAAGTAAAATCCTAATGACTTAGTATTATATGCATAGACTGATGCATCTCTCAAACTTCATCAGGAAAGCTTCTATTTACAATACATAGTGATTAACAAAGAGACCAACAACTGACCAAGGTACAGAGAGTAAGAGACTAAGGAATGCTCAACCCTAAATGGGCCATCTGTATCAAATGCTCTCCTCTCAAGGTTCAGAGATCATTGTTTAAGAGAAGTAAGAAACACTGTAAGCGTCAAAGGTGGTTGATAAATACAAGGAAGCAATGTCCTCCAGACATGGAAAGGCAGCTGTACGTATGAACTCAAAGTAACTGTGACAAATGCACAAACCACATGCAAGTTTAAATCAGACCAAATACTAGCATGAAGAGGGGAGGTGGACACTAAGCCCTGTCCCTACCCGAGGAACTACTGGCAATTATAGTTGCTGGAAGAGGGAGAGTTAGCTTTTTTTTTTTTTTTTTTTTTTAAGAGTGTCACCTCTTGGTCAACTATGCTCTGGTGAAAGGCACACATCTGATGATATACAGATAGCACAAATTGGATTTAATGTGGAAATTTGAAAAAAAAAAAAGCACAAAGTTGAGTGGGTAGAGAAGGGGAATGGACCTGCAAGTATGGAGAAAATAAGCATGATCGAAATACACTGTATGGAACTCTCAAATACTAAAATAGTAAGTAAACGACACAAAGAAACAGCTAAGCTAGATTCAAACAGATAATCAGTGTCAGGATTTACATGATCTTTATGAAAGCTTCTCCCTGGGGTCGGGGTTTAGGCTGATACCATCCTCCACTATATGAATGTCACATAATTAAATGTTATTAAAATAAAGTCCTATTTTCTTTATTCCTCCACATTACCAAGATGTCACTGCACAAGGAATGAATAGTAAAAGAATCGTCTACCAGTTCAAGTAGAACATCTTAGTGACTCAAAGCAAGGCTTATTAAAGACAGACTCCCTGAGTTCAAATCCCACATATACCATTTTACTTGGTGTGATAGTTTGAATAAGAATGGCCCCCATGGGCTCATATATTTGAATGCTTAGTCACTGAGAGTAGAACTCTTTGAGAAGGATTAGAAAAGTATTGTCTGAGTAGGTGTGACCTTGTTGGAGAAAGTATGTCACTGGGGGTGGGATCAGGTTTCAAAAATCCACGCTAGGTCCCATTTTCTCACCTGACCTGTGGATCAGGATGTAGCTTTCAGCTACTGCTCCAGCACAATGCATGCTTCCGTGATGATAAATGGACTAAACCTCTGAAACTGTAAGCAAGCTTCCAATTAAATATTTTCTCTTATAAGAGTTGCCTTGGTCATAGTGTCTCTTCACAGCAATAAACAGTGACTAAAACATTTGGAATTAGATCAAATACAAGTTCCTGAACTTTTTTTTTTCCGAATGAGAAATGGTTATACTAAAAGTATCCATCTGTTTGTGATGTTGTCTGATTAAGCAAGATCATATATGTAAAGGCTTCAGGAGATTACAAGACAACTGATCAATGTGTTAGATGTTAAATTTAAACTTTTAGAAAACTCACCTAAGTTGTACCTTTTCAGATTGTGGTAATAAAATTTTAATGAAGATTTTTCAGTCACTGCCAGAATTTTTATTAGAAAAAAAAAATCCCAGGAAACATATTAAAATGCAAGCTGCCAAGGGCGGGAAGCAATCAGTAGCCCTGCCCCGCTGTCACACTTGGGAACCACAACAATGGCCAGCATGGCAAAATACCCATATTGATGCAGGCAGCCATCTCAACAAAACCAGGAGAAAAAAAAAAAGAAAAACCCTCAAAGAAACAGCAAACAGAAGACTTCAAATTTGTATGATTAATATCTTCAGAAGGACAAATTGATAAGCATTTACAGGTATCTGCATATATATGCAGTTGATATGAAAATGAAAAAAAAAACCAAGACACTAAAAATTTTAAATAGCTCAAATAAACAGTCTGTGCTATTTGGAAAACACTCTAGCACAAATCAGTCTGTTGGAGAAGGCTGATGTAAGAAATTCTAATGTAAACTGCTTGATTTTGTTTGTTTCAAAGGGCTGTGTGACATGTAACATTTATTTAGTATCTTCTCAGCAGAGTTCCGAAGACCGGATAGGATAATGAGCAAGGAAATGGGAAGAGCTATGGAAATAGAAAAGAACCCTGGTGGAGAACAGAGGGGGAAATGTCATCTTAAGTATATTTAAAAGTCAACTAAGGCTTAGCAACTAGGAAAAGGGAATCTGAGACCATACTCTAGACAAAGCTTTGATACAAAATAAAACAGGGTACCTACTACAGTTTCAGCCTGAAATATTCTCCAAGGGCCTACGTGACAAATGCTTGGTTCCCACGCTGGTACTGCTGGAAAGCAGTGAAGCTTACAAGGTGACCCAGTAAGTGAGGGATTTGTTCCTAGAAGTAGGCCCCTTAAGGAGGATTATAGATCCAAAGTCTCTTATTTTTAACCTCGCTGTCCAATGAACATGTGTGGAGCATGTTGCTGCCATGACATGCTGCCTGACCACAGGGCAAACCAGAGACGGAAACCTTCTACTGTCCTGGTGAACAGCAACT